TCGGCCTCACAGTGCGGAGGTGCAGGGTTCGGTTCCGGCCTTCCTGCGTGGAGTTTGCATGTTCTCCTTGTGCCTGCGTGGGTTTTCTCCGGGTACTCCGGTTTGCTCCCACATTCCAAAAACATGCATGGCAGTTTAACAGAACACTATAAATTGTCCCTAGGTGTGGATGTGAGCGTGGATGGTCGTTCGTCTCTGTGCCCTGCGATTGGCTGGCAAACGGTTCAGGGTCCCCCGCCTACTGCCCGAAGACAGCTGGGATAGGCTCCAACACCCCGCGCGACCCTTGTGAGGAGAAGCGCATCGGAAAATGGATGGATGGATAGATGACGTCTTGTTCAGTTCAGTCGATTGACTTTTTCAGGCCGCTGACACCCCCAATATGGCGGACGTACTAACGTATTGGATTAACAGGGGGGGAACAACATTGGATGACTTCTACGTCTTTTCCTGGCAATTGCGGCCGCTAATGTTACAATACTGCCATCCTCAGGGGTTACTCCCAAATTGACCGCTTGAAATGCAAGTACGGAGACCATCAGTGTACGATGGTGTTGACGTAACCCAAATGTCTGGCGCAAATCGGAACGCACCGTATTCCGTTACTTTAACCCAGGTTATATATAATTAGAGTAAATATTTGTATGACAAACACTTCTACACCATAAACAAAGAACATCCATTGTCGAATCAATTGAAAAACTGCAAGTGCTGAAGTAATTGAGCCGTTCGTATGTCGGAATGGCTGAGCACTCCCCGTGCTTGCTGTACTCTGATGTCAGCTTCATAGCACATTCATCATGGTTGATGGCCTCCATGACCATGATTATCGATTATATTTGTCAAGTTGAGTGTCTGCTCCTCTTTTAAAGGCTTGAGGCACGTTTTTACACTCACTGCACTATGAACTGTTTACATTTTTGTGAGACCAAAGCCAAACTTTGGTCATTGAAATTCAATGACATTCAAATTATAGTCCAGATGTCTTTGCCTCTGTTTGCGTCATTCATTAGCCATTAACAAGTGTTGACAATATTTCTGAAAACATTATATTGGGCATTTGTGACTGCAAAATTTAATTGTTAAATAGCATGCTGAAACGTGTTAATCTTTTGTATGACTTTACTGTGAATGAGATCACATTTTTTTGTACACGTCACAATTTTTATCAAATCAATGTTGCATACAAGAGCCATTCAAGTACATGATACATTGACTTTACTGTATTTCTGCTCATTTCGTTGCTTTTTCCAAAGTGTGACAATTTAATTTAAGAGTGATTTGAGTTAAATGAAAACAAAAGCATTTCTTAATGTTTTGGACAAATTGTCTTCTCACATAATTGAAAGTGCCTCATTTGAGGTATTCTGGAGTTTGCCCCCACACAATCCTAATGTTTCAATGTGATGATAGAGTGTCATGTCCAGCTGACTGTTTCTCTGTTTTATTGATGGGTTTGATCTTTGTGGCAGGACTATTGCATGCAATTGCAATGGAATCCATTTCGTGATGACAAAAAGGAAACAGTTGAAGGCATACCAATAATTTAACATAAGACCTTTCAAGAGGACTAAAAATGGAAATTGTAACATGAATAAATCAACGGCACATCGACCAATCAGTTCAAAAAACAAGGTACACAATAGGTTTTGGTGACCTATAAATAGCCAGATGTGGGCACGTCATCTGTCAGTCATCCTTCTATCATTATTCCAGGCCAGCCCAGTCCATCGGCGACAGCCAATCGGCGTTGAGAATGTACTTTGCATGCAGGCGAAGCACAGTCTCGAGTTTAAAAAAAAAAACTAACAAACAAACAGTGTTATATACCCTTTCAGTCCCACTTACTGCAATAATATTGTCCCATGATGTCGCACTGAGTGCGAGTGTGTGTATGTGCCTGTTTTTTTTTTCTTCGCGTGCGGGTTCATGTGATGTAGTAAGTGCATTCTTGAAGTTGCTTGGATGTCGCTGCTCCGGATGGACTGAAATAACGACAGAATGATGTCTGACGTACTGACGTGGCCACCTCTTTTAATACAACAGTTTTTCGAAGAGTTTCTGAAGCATGTCCACAGAACAAGGCATGTTTGGGCAACTGGTGTTGGGACCAGTTAACCCATGTTTTGGCGGTTGCCATAACCTCTGCGATGATCGTCCTTCCAGTCATCCCATTTCCTGGCCTTCATCAAAGCGTCTTCATCATCGTTTTCAGCCTGTTTCTCCTTTTCTTCTTCTTCACGCTCCTTAGCATCGGTGTCTTCCTCCACTGCAACCCTTCTGGGAACCCCCTGATCAGGCAAGACTCCATGTTTCTTGTGCTGATCATACCAGTCATCCACTGTCATGGTGGGAAGGCTAGGATAGCCGGCCCCAAACACCTGAGCCTGGGGAAAGAACAAATATGATGCGTTGCTCTTAAATCAGCTGCAAGTTATCCTATCATTTTATCACCCACATCACAACACAGACGGTCAACTTTGTCGGTGGACAGTGGACAGTTCTGCGGCATCATGTAATGAAAGGTGGAACACATTTGCCAATTCTACATCTTGAAATAGTTGGGCCTGAAAGGCAGGTGCAAATCATACCTTCATGGCCTCGCAGATAGCCGGAACTTGTAAGACTCTACCACCAATTCATGCAACAGTATAGTCGCTTCTCACTAAATAGTATAATACTTCAGTAATGTGTAATTTAAAACAATTACAGGAGGAATGAATGCTTTACAACAGTGGTGCCCAATACGTCGATTGCGATCGACCGCAAGCTCGCGGACTGGTCCCAAGTCGATTGCGAGGGATGTAGAGGGAAAAAATAAATGAATAAAAATCCTGAACATTTGTGTTTCGGTTTATGTGTTATTAATATGATATACCTGTATTCTTGTGTTAGTGCACACTGCATCCTTAGCATCCTGTCTCACTTTCACAAAAAGTATTTAAAAAATAAAATAAAATAAAAAAAGCAGGTCACCTTTGACCTACGGTGGCGCGTGACCTGCATCACCGGAAGTTGTTTGCGTTCAGCAGTCTGCAATTGCCGCTTGCGATCAGAGCTGTGGCGATATATCTTATTGTTGTTGTTATTATTGTAATTATTATTATTATTATTCAGAGTTTGTTCCGTGTACAATTCACCAAGGACACTGGCAAAGAATAGGAATCTAGAGGGCTGAGGGAAGCATTCTAAAACGGTACATGTGAGCTACAATTGTTAACTGGCTGCAAAAGCGCATCGCATGCCTCGGCATCAGGTCTCCCACTAAGGTAGGCAGTGCTTTCTTTTTCACAAACTCACAAACTCTTGTGTCGACTTTATTTTTCTGTTTCGTTCATCTTGGGGTCCGTTATGGTTGTTTTGCTCATCATGGGTGTGCAAGTGCGTCTGCATGCGTGAGTGTGCGGTAACAGGTTGATCGCAGAAGGTTGATTGATCGAAAATAGATTTTCGGTCAAAAAGTTTGGGCACCCCTGCTTTACAAGAATGTAATGTAGCTAATCTGCAGTTGTGTTACATGGATTCTGGGAAGAGTTTTTTCTTTTTAATCCAGCTTTGTGTAAGGCCCCGAAGGTGTGTGTGGTTCACGATCGGGGGCGGGAGTCGAGGGGTTGGGCCAGTGGAGGGAGGAGGAAGATGATTGTAAGAGCGTCCACTCTAATTTTCTTTACCAGCCAAAATGAATGATGAATAAAGAAATAAAGTAACACCAACACTATTTTGGCTGGACGATCAAGGGCGCGGAGACAGAACTACTGCCTCCGAGCCCAAAGGCTTTCTGCTCACAAGACACGTGGTCATTTTAAAAACAGATTAGCTTCCAGGCACTCATCTACACTATGGCAGCACAGAACAACCCCGAAGTGAACGAGGTCGTGTTTGCTGTCATGTCTCATTGCACTGTTCCGATCAGTGATAGATCGCACAAATCATGAATATGACATTCGATCGGCGATTTTGCGCAAAATGCAAAATATCAACTGATTTCGTTACACTCGATCAGCTCGGTGTAAAGTCTACTTATTACGCATAAAGGTTTTGGTTTTATAGCTTTGGCTTATGCTAACTTAAAGGCAAATGACCCAGGAATTAATATGACACTTTTGACTTATCTCCTTCAATTAGATGGGCCAACTGACTAAACACTTTGACGTGCAGTCTTTTAACTAGCATTCACTGCAAAAATTCAACAATAAATACATCATATATGCAAACATTTTGAAAAATAAAGCCTCCCCACCAACCTGAAATGAAGCTGACTTTTTGGGGTGTTCAAATTGCAGCCTTTGTGATTCTAAAATTGCCTTCTACTACATTGCGATGTCAATTGGAATTTGATAAAATGTTCAGCCCTTTCCCATACTCCAACTAACCTGCATAGCATCCTTGGTGAGGATGAACGGTTTCATGGGTGGCCTGCTCGGTCTAGCAGGCTGTGCGGCACCAAGCTGCATTTGATCCATACTCTTCAGTATTTCCATCTCCTGGTCTATGCTCTGGACTTCATCCAGGCACAGAATCACCCATTTCCGGACATTGAGCAAGTAAAAATCTCTGCTGGTTTCATCATCAGCCTGTCCACTCTCCACAGATCTCCGCACATCTGACAGTCTGGCCTCCAGCTCCTTCTTCTGACTGTATCGCTCAATTTTGGCTTGTCTTTGTGCCGCCATGGCAACCAAGTTTGATGTACTTGGCATCGCCTGGGAAAAATACAGTGCACAGGTAAAGATAAAGTTGATAAAATTATGAATATATGAATAGCTAAGAACAATGAAGGGAGCAAAATGAATGAAAGCCGCCCACCTTTTTTAAATTTGTCTATATTTTTAATGACCTTGATGGTCAATTTGACACTTACCATGCAGGTGGAGGGTGCATTCTCTGCTGCTTCGTCGGGAACTGTGCTGTCAGTCGTAGACTGCGGCAGATGAAACTGGGATATGTTATAGTCTTGACATCTCTTCAAGAAATCCAAGAAGTAAGCCCGAGCTGTTTGGACAATCTCCAATCGTTTGTCTCGACCTGTCACCTTCATGGTCAGGGCGCCTAAGAGTGCGGGGCACAGCAGATATTTGAGGTCCACTGTGGCAATCTCCTCCAACTCTTCATTGGGACTAAACAAGTCCAACTGAGCAGCCATTCGGGATGTTTCTTCTAGCATACTGATCGCACGTTTAACTCGGACCTGAACACTGTTTGAAGCAAGAGGATCATTTGTATTGTCTACCTCGTCAAACATCTTCCAGCCACGGTCGAATAAGTCCGATAATTTGGGAGCTTCGGCATCTGAATGCGAGTTTGGTCTTTCACTGTCACTTGTTTCACACTCCGCCATGTTGGTACAATTTCCGGAAACTCTCTTCTTCGTTTAAATTATTGCAGGGATTCGGTGGACATTACTGCCATCTATTGGTGCATCGTAGAAAGGGTTCCGTCAGTCGTCATCTGTACCTGTGGGTAAAAAACAAAAAACAAAAAAGGACGTTTCGCTTCTCTCACAGAAGCTTCGTCAGCGGTAGACAACTCTGAAGTCCCCGTGAAGACTCCGGGAAATTGCTCTGCGCTAAAAAGCTGAGCGTGGCCTATTTGAGGATTGGGTGGGGATGTTTGTCACGCCCCTATGGTGAAGAGGCCCATTGATTTCTAAATTCCCTATCGTTGGGTCTTGATTAGGCCTATTGTTTGGGCTAGGGCTGAATAGCTACTTTCAGTTAGTCCCTTGGTGGTCAACAAGTTATTGTAAATAGGAGACAGGTTAAATCTGATACCTCCTTCACAGTTCAGAGAGTGTGAAAATTGTTTAACAAAAATCGCTTCCTTTACTCCCCTTTCAAACCATCTCTTTTCTGTTCCTAGGATTTTTACTTGTTCATCTTCAATTGTGTGGTTTGTTTCTTTTAAGTGTGCATATACTGCACTTTTGTTGTCATTGTTTTTCCATTTGTGTTGATAAAGTCTTTTCTTGAGTGTTTGTTTGGTTTCTCCGATGTAATGTTCCTTGCACTCACTTTCTTGGCAACGGATGGAATAAATCAGATTGCATTTTTGGGTGTTAGGAACCCGGTCTTTGGGGTGTACTAGTTTTTGTCTCAATGTGTTTATCGGTTTAAAATAAACAGGAATATCATGTTGTAGAAATATTCTTTGTATTTTCTCTGAGAGGCCGGCAATATAAGGTACACAGACACCCCTTCTCTTCTTTTCTCTCTGTTGGTTGGTTTCCTCTCTGTTAGTTTTAATTTTCCCAACTTTGCCAAAGGCCCACTTAGGGTAGCTACACCCTGACAGTGCCCTCTCAATGTGTTTGACCTCACTCTCTCTTGACTTGGTGTTGGTGGAGATTTGGCTCGCT